GCCATTTATTATTACTTTCTGCCAAGCTCCGTTCATTTAAAATGAAAGAGACCTCCAAAATGATCAAAGAATAACTGGGCATCTAGTTGGCTGGTGAAATAGCCCTTGTTTCAAATGTTATATTACAATGTTATAAAGTAATAAATACTTAAGGAATTAACAGACTATATATGTGTAAAGATCACATGTAGTGCTTTATACTCCCCAAAACACTTTTATATACTTTATATTAATAGCAACTTTCATTTATGTTTTTTAGACTTTAAAAGCACTCACAAATATATTATCTCACAATATACTTCCAACAATTGTAATAAGTACAAGTATTATTCTCCCCATTTTAAAAATGAGGAAACTAGGTTAAGTGATTTATTTGTAGTCACACAGCTAGTAACTATCAGAATCTAGATTTGAACTCAGCTCTTTTCACTACATGATTGCTGCCACCCCCTGATTATGGTATTGATAGGAGAGGTGGTGGCTGTGGAAGTGAAGATAGTGTGGTTTTCAATAAAACGTTTAACCTCCTTGTACCTTGGCTTTACTACCTGTAATATGTGTGCAGCACAACTCTGGACATACTGTTCCAATTCCATGAGCACACTAGGTTCCCGGAACTCGAGTTCCCAGAACAAGGTCAGCTGCATCTCCTTCTCAGTGGTCAACTTGAGGGGTTTAGAGTGTCTTTCTAATGCTATCAGCTGGAGCCCCCATTCTGGTGTGTTCTCCCCAATATCAACCACCAATTACAGTTACTATTTCCCTTATACCATTGATACCCTCCAGCGATTAGCACTCCAGTATCATTTAATCAATTAAGATCAATTAGCTTTCACAAAGGCATATTTACTGAGAAGACTTATAAAGAACAGAAGGACAAACCATTCCTCTGAACTGGGCAGGGCAGAGGAAGAGAGGCACTCTCCTTTATAGTTCTTCACTCCCTGGAGAGAGTGGGGTCAAAGTTTAAGTGGTTGCTACAAAAGCATTAACTCACCAAATTTACTTGTAAGTGCAATACCATAGCCAATCAATGGACCGATGTCATTCCCATATACATAGCCAATGGATGAGCTAATGTCACCACCTCTTGGCTACTTTCAACCCATGCCTCTGCTGGGTCAAGCTGCACCGGTCCCCATCCCTGGACCTTTTGACAGCTCACTCTTCTAAATTTTTGAAGCTCACAGGGTCACAGCCTAATCTATTTCATACTCCTCCTAAGGCAACACAAGCAACAGCAGGCCCATGTCCTCATGGTTTCAGCGAGTAGGGAAAGTGCTGCCGGTGTTAGCTCTCTCCCCATCCAGAAGCTTAAAATGGTCTTGGCCTCCTGATTTTAATGTAACCAGGCAGGAGGAGGGAGAGGGAGAGAGGGGGAAGAGGGAAAAAGAGAGGGAGAGAAAAAGTGGGAGGGAAAGAGGGAAAGAGAGGAAAGACAGGAAGGAGAAGAGGAAGGGAAAAGGTAGAGAGGGGAAGGGAGAGAAAGGGGGACAAGGAGAAGGATGGGGAGGGGAAAGAAGAAAAAGAGGGAGAGGGAGGGAAATAGGGAGAGGAAGTGGGAAAAGGGAAAGAGGGAGGGAAAAGGGAGAGGAAGGGAAGAAAGTGAGAGGAAGGGAAAGAGGGAAAGGAAGGGAAGAGACAGAGGGAAGCAGGGAGGAAAAAGAGGGAGAAGGGAAAAGAGAAAAGGAAGAGAGTAAGAAAGGGAGAGAAAAGTCCTTCCCTTCAACTTGTAATTACCATAATTAGCAGTGATTCTTGCATGTGCTCTGAAGTGGAGAGCTAGGTCTCTTCATCCGAGTCATTTCATATCATCAGGCACTTTCAGAAACAAGGTCACCAAGCCTTGTGGTGACAGGCAGAGTACACCATCCATGCTTTGAGGATGGGTCTCCCATTGTCTAGCCCCATTACATGGGGCTCATAATAGCAATGTTCTCTCTCTCTCTCTCTCTCTCTCTCTCTCTCTCTCTCTCTCTCTCTCTCTCTCTCTCTCTCTCTCTCTCTCTCTCTCGAATCCAAAGTATTGTGGTAACTGAGCTCTGTCAGCTGACCTCCACTCTCTCCCATGTAAGAAGAATGGAAGCTCCTTGAGGGAAACACTTGTTTTCCACTTGTATTTCCTATCTCTAGTACCTAACACACTGCTATGCACATACTCCAAAGAATCTGCCAGAGCAGATTATGTCCTATGCCCACCCATCCTGTGTGATTCTTGTCCACATCCTCCTATAAGTCTGTGCCTGGGGATCCACCCAAGACTCTAAGGGTCTTCTTACATTCTGTTAACATGGAGAGGACACCAATGAGGCAAGTAAGAGGCCCACTGGCTATTCCTCACTCTCTCTTTAACTGACCCATCTTTTTCAATCAGATATTTCTTTGATGATATCCTTTATGTTACTTTTCTTGACTAATTTCTTATTTGAGGAAGCTAGATGGTATAGTAGATAGATTACTGGACTTGGAGTCAGGAGGACCTGAGCTGGAATCCTGCTTCAGACACTAGCTGTGTGACCCCCAGTAGGACACTTAGCTTCCATTTGTCTCAGTTTTCTCAGCTGTAAAATGGGGAGAATAATAGTAGCTACCTCCCAGGGACAGGGTTATTGAGAGGATGTGAGATAACACGTATAAAGTGCTTTGAAAACTTTAAATTGATATGCAAATGTCAGCTCTTTTTTTTTTTAGTATGTTGTAGTCTGCTCAGTCCTACCATGTGCCTCTCTATTGAAGTAGTCCTCAAATTCAATTCTTCAAAGACTGTAGTATTCCTTGACTCACATTCATAAAATATCACCTGAGGAGAATTAGTGTTAAAAAGATGGTCCCTTGCTTCAGGGAAAATCTTAGGGGTATTAAAAAGAACTTCATCATTCCCCAAAGGCAATCCAATACAATTTCTTCCTTCTTTTCTGGGAGCAGCTCACAGTCCATGTACAATAATGAACAAATTCTATAAAGTGTTCATCCAATAATCATTTGGACAATAAGCATTTCTCGTCCTTTTAGTGTTTTCTGTGTGGATAGTTAGACCAAATACTTTTCATAGACTTAGAGTTTCAAGGGACCTTAGAGATCATTTAGCCCAATACACTCATTTAAAATATGAGTGGCCCAAACAAGTCAAGTGATTTACCCAAGGTCACATGCAGGAGAGCCAGAATTAAAACCCAGGTTTTCTCACTCTAAATCCCTGACCCTTTTCACTGTACTACACCTGACTGTGGCTCTCATTTAGGAACTCCTACAATATCCTGTGACCTGATCTAATTAGCACAATAGGAGCAGCTGGAGGCCCTCAATATCTTTAATGATTCCTTGTTTGACTAGGACCCTCTATTCTATCTTCTTCAAGACAGTCAGGAACATTTTTGTCTAACATGCATGTCTTCGTTTTATACCTCATTTGATATCAAAAAGTAAAGGATCATCAAAAAAGGATCTCTACTGTTATATCTTTGAAGGAATCTCATATAATTTTGACACATGAATGGGAGATGCCTTACTGGAGTAATTTGCTCTACTGAATCAAATGCTTTTTTATAATCTGGAAAAAAAAAACAGTGGTACTTTGGATTCTCTACATCTTTCAGTCAATTGTGTGATGGTAAAAGAAGTGGTCTTCTGTGGAATATCACTTGCAAAAGCTTTCGTAAGATTTCTATCTAATACCCTCATCAAAAATGTCTAGTGTACACATGTGTAGATTATTTTCATAAAAAATTATAAAGATGGGAAAGTAGGCCATGGGTCAGTAATTTATATACTTTCAGTCACTGTGTTTTTTGGGGTTTTTTGGTAAGAACATTGTTTGAGTTTTTTTCCTCCACATCTTTGGTAGTTTCCCCTTTTTCACATACCTTAAGACTCAGTCCCTCAACATCATCAAAACTGTGTCATCTCCAGCATGTAACTTCTCGGTATATAATTAATCTGATCCAATTACTTTTTCCATCTCTGTGTTCTTAAAAGCTATTTCTTTTTCCTCAATACTATTGATGTTAATTACTATGATGTTAGAACCCAAATGTAGTGGCTCCACTCACTTTGCTATGACAACATTTATACGTTTTTTACATCTTTTATATGCTTGTTGTCTTCCTTCCAATCTCATCTTAAATGCTCCCAGGATGACCTTATGTCCCACTCCAATCTTTATCTGATCGTTCTGCATTCTTTTCTTTTACCCCTACCTGACTCCCGGTTCACTGGTTGGGGCTATGAAACCTCATCACCAGCCTGGAACTTTAGCTCTTATGCTCTCCTCTTCTATAATGAAGGCTCTTAACTTCCCTTGTGGGATTCTGGCCTGGATCTCATGATATGATGTTGGGAAAAGCCTTGTGATATTTGTTTGTAGGCCTAGTATGAGGACAGAAGCAACACTGACCCATTTAGGGACTATTGCGGCCTGAGAGTATCTTTGAAAAGGGCCTCTTGGAGTACCACAAGGGTCCTGGAATAGCTCTTTATTTGTTCAGTGGTAGCCCGGCAGAAAAACAGAGCTAGAAGAGGGTGAGAGGAGTCAGAACTGTGTGGCAATCCTCCCCACCTAATTCTGTCATATTCTTCTTACCCCTCTTCCTATGCATAAGTCCTTGATCCCAGAAGCACTCTCTCACACCCCAGCCTTATATTCCCAAAGGCTGGTCCTGATCTTCATCACATAAATCTTCTGTTTAGCAAGGAGAAATAAACTGGAGCTTAAAACGGTGGGTGGTACTTTCTAAGCTCAGAAACCAGTCTGACCCTGTAAGCTACTACAGCAAACTTACTGTGGGAACCGGTCTGTTCAGTTGCAGCCGAAGGGGTTTTCCAACAAAGACTCTTGTTTCGTTTGTGATGCAAACAGTGCAACCGGGTCTATTGGAGTGCGTGGTTCCCCCCAATCTCCCCCCTGCTTTGGGCGTGCTTCCTCATTGGCTAGCCAGTCATGCTGGACCTACTGGCCCTTCAGCTGTTAGCTGTGAAGGAGCCATATTTAACTGGAGGTAAGTAAGCAGACAAGCTGTCTGCAGCTCTGATATTTGCACAGCCCTGGAGCCGCCTTCCCACTCAATCTAAAGAGAGAAGGCTCGTTGGTAGGGCCAAGCCACCTCCTCTGGTTGAGCTGGGGGACCCCTAAGGAGGCAGGGGACTACGGCTAGGATCCCTGGAGCCTAACAAGTTAGAAGCCATCTCTCCCTAACCCTAGAGGGTGGTGGCTGAAGGTAGCCACTACAGGCCTCCACCAAGGACTCCAGCCTGGCCTTGGATCCACTCAGAGTCTCAGGGCTGGCCAGCCTCAGAGGGAGGAAGCTGACAAGCGGCAGGCAGCAGGAGCCCAGGACATTATCGGGCTCTTCTTCTGTCTGGCAGTTACAACATCGCTTGCTCTCTGAGGACCATCCTTTTAGGCCCAGCAGCAGCTACAGAAGGAGAGGCAGCAACAGCAGCAGTTTTTCCCGGGGACCACATCATCCATCCTCTAGTTCTGTGGCAGACACCCCAAGGCTTCCATGCCACACTCTTGTTGGGGAAAAGACAAAGCTCAAGTTCAGGGTCGTTCATGTTGGACCTGGGGTCTCCAATTCCTCCTGCTCCCTACCCAGTGCAGTAGCATGTACCCCACTCCCTCTATGTAACCACAGAGTGGCCATAAGAGGAGGAAAAGTACCCAACTTATATCATTTTGCCTCCTTCCTCAAGCCCATTCTGGAAAATTATGCGTCAAGAGGGGACTGCCTCAAGCTTGCCACCAATGGCCTCAGCCCCCATGCCACCCAGCCAAGAGCCAGGTGGGCCCTCCCAGTCTTTCCAGCAGGATCCAGCTGGGGTCCACTGGGCCCCAGCAGAGATCCGGCACCTCCTGGCCATCATGGAGGAGCCAGCCATTCGGCGGCGCCTGAAGACAGTCCACCGTAACACTTCTGTGTATGAGGATGTGGCCCGGCGCCTTCAGGAACAAGGCTATGTTCGACATGCCCATCAATGCCGCACCAAGTTCAAGGCACTGAAAGTGGCATACAAGAAGGCGCATGCGGCAGTCTTGCACTCAGGCACAGCCCCTCAGGGGTGCCCCTTTTATGAAGAAATGGATCGGGTACTGCAGACCCAGGTCACCACTGCCAGCCCCAAGCACTCCTCAGAGCAGGAGCGAGAGCAGCGACCTGATGTGAATTATTCCAAATGGCAAGGTGGAGGTAGGGAGAACAGGGGTAAGCAGGAGGAAGCCACGGAGGGGTGTCCCCCCCAACCCCACAAACAGCAGCAGCAACAGCAGATGCAGCAGCAACGCCGGCCACAGGCAGAGCTTCTGTGTAAGGTGGAGGTGGAAAAGCTGCCCAGTGATTTAAACCCAGACAGCCAAGCTAGGGCCGAGGGAGGAAAGGACCGTAGAGAGACCAGCCATCAGACTGGGACAGGTAAGTCAGCGGTCAGGTATACTGCAGCCCCTGAGGGTGAGGGTGGTCAGAGGGGCACAAGGCTCCCAACGAAGGAGGCAGAGCCATGAGATGAAAGGGGCACTGAGATTGGCAGAAAAATGACTTGGGTCAATCCAGATTCGGCCCTTTACTCCCCATATGACTATAGGCAAGTGCTTTCACCTATTAAGACCTCAAAGTCTTCAAAGTCCCTTCCAACACTAGCATTATATAATTCTGAGATATAACTCTAGAGTTTTGGTGGGGTGGGTTTTTTTTCTTTTTTGAGTAAATATGACTAGAGGATTAGGATCACAAAATCCTCTCATTTTAAGTGGCTGGGTGGTGCAATGGATAGAACACCAGGTTAGGAGTCAGAAAGACCTCAATTCAAATCTAGCCTCAGACACTTACTAGCTGTGTGACCCTTGGCAAGTCACTTAACCTTTGTTTGCCTCAGTTTCCTCATCTGTAAAATGGGGATAATAATATTATCTACCTCCCAGGGTTGTTGTGAGGATCAAATGAGATAATAACCGTAAAGCATTAGAACCCGGCACACAGCAGGCTCTATATAAGTACTCATGCCCTTCCCCTCTTTCCATTATAGCATGATGCCTCTTTACTGTGATCATGATAACTAGTGATAGGAAGGAAAGTAGTTGCTGGGAAGTGTTGCTGTTATTATCACCATTTTACAGTTAAGGAAACTAAGGAAGAAAGAAGTTAAGTGAGTTGCCCCGGGTCACATAGCTAGTAAGCATTCAAGCCTGGATTTTAACTCGGGCCTTCCTGACTTACTGTCTTCTTTGTCCACTGTGCCATCTACCTATCTCCAATCCTATTTGACTATTTTCTAAAAAGGTGGTACCAGAATGAGATGAGAATGGATGGGAGGCAGGGAGATGAGAACTATATATTTTTTTCCTTTTTCTTTTTTTAAACTTCTCTAGGTTTCCAGAGGAAGCTGAGCCAAAATCTATCCCAAAGGGAGACAGCACCACCACCAACCCCACCAGCACCAGCAGTGACAACCACCCCTTTCGGGGGACTGTCTGGCCGGGTCCGCCAGTTTCCACCAAGGGCTCGAAACTTCAGGCGGCACCAGACAGCAGCTGCCATGATTGTCTCCGAAATGGCAGAGAATCGCCGCCTTGCCAGTCAGCTGGCACGGGAGTCAGCGGCTCAACTGCAGCGCCACCTGGACCAGCACAACGTGCACATGGCAGCTCTGGTGCAGGTGGCCCGAGACAGTTCTGCCCAGCGCCAAGAAGTGGTGGCTATCTTGCAAGATGTTGCAGATGATATCCACGAGGGGGTAGCCCTACTGAGGTCTTCCATTGGCCGCCTGGGTCAGGAATAAGACTGCAGACCTCAGGCTTTCTCCCCGTCCTCCAGCCTTGGGCATCTCTGGCATCCCAAGGAGTTTGGCAGAAGCGACCTTTTTTTCTGCAGGAACTGTTTTGTTTTGTTGTGTTCTTTCAAGTTGGTTACCTTACAAGAAAAAAAAAACCTTTCTTTCAGGAGAAAGTCAGTGGAAAAGCTTTGGGGAACAGCAGAACAGGGGGTTAGAGGACATGGGGACCAAGGCTAAGGCTGTGAAAGCAAAAGGGTTTGTGGCTATGAAATAAGGGATTGCTAGGGGGAATTTTTTCAATGTTTCTTTGTGTTTGGATCTGCTTCAGCCCAGGAGACAAAAGTGGAGAAAGCCTCTGTTGGATAGGAGCTCTGGGATGAGTAGGGCAGCTAGGTGGCCCAGTGGATAGAACCCTGGGTCTGGAGTCAGGAAGACTCATCTTCAAATCCAACCTCAGACACTTACTAGCTGTGTGACCCTGGGTAAGTCACTTAACTCTATCTGCCTTGGTTTCCTCATCTGTAAAATGAGCTGGAGAAAGAAATGGCAAACCACTCCAGTATCTTTGCCAAGGAGACCCCAAATGAAGTCATGAAGAACTGAACACGACTGAACAACAACAGACATGAGTAAGTAGGCACTAGAGAAGCTTGAGTCAGGTGATGTCATCACAAAGAGGTACCATACTAAACGTGTCTTCCGACTCTCCCTATACCCCACCAAGCTGGACAGCATTTTTAAAACAACCTACACTTTCCAACAAGCAATAGATGTGGAGTGAATCTATATCACGTTGGGCAAGTCACTTGCCCTATCCCTCTCTGGGATTCACATGCCTTATCTGAAAAATGAGAGAATTGTACCAGAGCATCTCTAAGATCTATCAGATCTGAGGCTTTGGATTATGGTAAATTTGGATTGCCAAGCTTTCACCAAAAGGCCAGAAAGATCACTCCTTGTTCTTTTTTGTAGTGGCTTGGTAGTTTTTCAGTCATGTCCAACTCTTCATGATCCCATTTGGGGTTTTCTTGGAAAGACATTGGAATGGTTTTCTATTTCCTTCTCCAGCTCTTTTTTTTTTCTTTTTTGGTGAGGTAATCGGGGTTAAGTGACTTGCCCAGAGTCATACAGCTAGTAAGTGTTATGTGTCTGAGATTGGATTTGAACTCAGGTCCTCCTGACTCCAAGGCCAAAACTCTATCCACTGTGCCACCTAGCTGCCCCTTCTGCTCATTTTACAGGTGAAGAAACTCAGGCAAACAGAGTTAAATGACTTCCCCAGAGTCACATAGGTAGTAAGGAGGATTTGAACTCACGAAGATCAGTCTTCCTGACTCTAGGCCCAATGCTCTATCCACTGTACCACTTAGCTAAAAAGTGAAAGGGATGGGGAAAATGGTAGTGTTGCCTATGCTTTGGCAACTAGGATGAGCAGCGGACAGAATGCTGGCCTTGGAACCTGAGTTCAAACCCTACCTAGGATATTTACTAGCCATGTGACCCTAGGCAAGTCACTTATCCTCACTGACCCTCAGTTTCCTCATCTGTAAAGACAAAATAAAATGAAAGAGTTTGATTCAGTGGCTTCAAAAGTCCCTTTCAGTTCTAAGTCATTGATCCTATCATGTCCTTCATAATAGCATGAGGGTCCCTAAAGATGCCACTGGCTTCATAACTGAAATTCATCAGCTCATCCTTATTCCCATCTTTACATCCATTCTTGATTCCCAAGAAATGGAAAGTGATAGAACAGAAGGAGCTGCCTAGAAGTCAAGGGAGAAAGTTAAAGGATCTGTTTATACATTGTGGCTGTTACAGTAATTAATTATACATTAATTTTATCCACTTAAAAATGACTTACCTCTTTTTTCAATTCTTTATGAGACTTAAGGTCATAAATATCTCTCTCTCTCTCTCTCTCTCTCTCTCTCTCTCTCTCTCTCTCTCTCTCTCTCTCTCTTCTCTCTCTCTCTCACACACCATCATCATCATCATCACCATCATCACTTACCCCAACAATCCCTGTCTCCATTTTAGAAATGGGAACTATCTAGGAGCTGTGAGTATCAATGGAAGATGAAGACAGAAAGGGAAATGCTCAATCGGAAAGCACAAAGTGAAGTTTCATAGAAGTTGGGCATTGAATTATTTCTATACTGTCCTCCTCATATCAAACCATATCAGTGGATAAGACCAAATTTCTTCGACTGCCCGTGAAGACCACTTATCTTTCACCAAACTCCTGACCAATCTTTGGGCAAAGCCTCTTCTTTCCAAGATGCCGCAGAATTGCCCTAACCCCTTAGCCCTTAGAAGCATGGTAGAGTGGAAAGGGGAAGCTAGGTAGTACAGTGGATAGACTGTCAGACCTGAAGTCACAAAGACTCATCTTCAAATCTGTCCTCAAACACTTACTAGCTATGTGACTCTCAGCAAATCACTTAACCTTGTCTGCCTCAGATTCCTCATCTGTGAAATGAGCTGGAGAAGAAAATGGCAAACCACTCCAGTATCTTTGGCAAGAAAATCCCAAATGGGGTCACAAAGAGTCAGACATACGTGAAATGACTCAACAATAAGAAACAGTGGGAAAAGCACTGACTCTGGAGGTAAAGGGCCTTGGTTTAAATTCCACCTCCAATGATAACTTTGGACAAATCACTTAATCTCCCTGGGCCTCAATTTTCTCCTGTAAAACAATGTAGTTAGATTTAAATGACCCCTAAGTTCCCATTGAGGCTATATATCTGTGATCTATGAATGTGCTTCCTCTTTGCTTTTCCCAGGCAGATTTCTCTCCAGGAGATGGCACAGTTTCTGGGCATCATTTAAATGCCTTGTTTCTCTTCTAACCTTTGGGCAGGTAGTGGAGCGACAAGAATGGAAGACCTGAGTTAAAATCCCAGTTCTATTATTAACTGCTCCTCTGACCTTGTGCAAGTTATGTCAGTTCTCTGTGCCTCAGTTTCCTGATTTGTAAAATGAAGAAATTGAACTAGATTACCTCTAAGACCTCTTCTCTCTCTACATCCTAAGATTTAGAGTGTTAAATCTGCTCTCTTTCTGTAAACCCTAAAAGGCCTACTGTGTACACGGGAATATGTAAAGATCCAGGTTTTTTATATACTGGAAAATATTTCATTTCAGAATTGCAAAGGCCCTTTGACATCATCTAATTTTAGAGGAAAGGAAAGTGACATCCAGGAAAGTGAAGCTCTTTATCCAAGGTCACAGTGTGAGTCGCAGGTCAGATCTCATTTCCTCATCTAGTACTTATCCAAAGCGCCAGAGGACATATCTCTATGCCCAACATTTATACAGTGCCAGGCATTGTGCTAAGCACTTTACAAATATTATCTCATTTGATCCTCACAATAACTCTTAAGAGGTAGGTGCTGCTTTTATCCCCATTTTACAGATGAGGAAACTGAGACAAACAGGTTAAGTAACTTGTCCAGGGTCAGAATTAGCAAATGTCCAGTAAATCAGTCTTCCTGACTCCAGGCCGAGCACTCTATACACTGTGGCTTCACCTAGCTGTATAAAATAACATTTTAAAAGAACATCGAGGAAATGAGAATCTAGTGACTTCTTGAAAGACACAAAATCAATCAAACAAGTACTTACGAGTTAATGAATATTGATTAAGTTCCTGCTATGTGCCACTGTGTTAAGAGCTGGAGATACAAAGAAAAGGCCTCAAGAGGCTTACAGTCTAATGGAGAAAGACTCCCCACAAAAGGAAGCTAAAAGAGGAGTGGGAGAAGGGAGAAACTTACCTGGTGCCAGGGAATGATAGAGAAATTCAAAGGAGTATAGCCAGGTGGGAACCAAAGATGCCTACTACGTGCCAGAAACTGTCCTGCAGAAATCCAGTCCATTTGTCTTTCACTCCTGGGTTATTTTGACCACTGTAGCTTTCTGGGAAAGTTGGCTAATTGCCCAACCTTCACCCTGGGGGGAGGAAGAGGAAGATAGGAAAGGTGGGCTGAAGGAGGGGTGTGGAAGAACTTAAAGAAGGGGAGGGAGGATGAGAGAAGAGGAGCCCTCAAAACTACATGTCCTAGAATTCCAGCTAGTAGCAATTTTCTACTTATGCTAGAATGTTGAAAGCTGCAGCTCCAAACTGATCTCTCAAAAGTGAACTTCCCGCTCCTGTTAAGACTCATTTCTCTACTGTGACCCATATATACCATGCTTCTTTCCCACTTCTGTATATTTGCTCATGCTGATTCTCCCACAGACATTCCCACACCCCAAGTTTGCCTCATTAGTGTTTGTGGGACTCCAAACAGATAACAACTGAATCCCTGTTGGGACTCCACATATTCCTCAGTGTACCATTCCCTCATAGTCATGGGAATGCTGGGTAGTGACCCTTCTCACTTGTTGGCCCTCCTCACCTCCCCCTAGCTCCTCACCCTCAATAATTTTAATATCCTTGAAAATATGCAATCTCTATAGATCATCTCCCTCAAATCCAATAGACATTAAAAGCCTACTGTCTGCTAGGCATTGTACTCTACTCCCTGTTAAAAAGTATTCTACCTAATTGTAGGTAAAACGTACATAGAGAAGTAGAGTAAAGGATCTTTGACCTCAGGAAGACCTAGACTCAACACCCACCACCGACACATACTGGCTGTGTAGCCCTGGGTGGGTCACAACCTCGTAGAGCTCCAAGAAATTCTCTAAGACTAGAGGAGACACGCCACATTGGGAAGTCCCAACACCTATGAAATCTAGGGTCCAGTCCTTAGCCTTAAAAGGTGTAGTGTTTTATAAAGTGAGAGGAGAGCAAGGAGAAAGAGGAATCCTAAGAGAAGGGGTATTTTTGTAGTGAAATGCTGGAGGTTTCAGGTGTGTTTGAACTGAGTAGGTCAAAACCTCATACACAAATGTGTGCCTAGACAGATATATACATATATGTGGATGTATGTATATATATGTAAACACACACATATCTATTCCTCTATATGTACATGTGTGTTTATGTGTACGGAAATTTTAGGTGGTATTGGAACTGAGTAGGTCAGAGCCTCATAGACAAATATGTGTCTATACAGATATATGTGTGTGTGTGTGTGTGTACACATACATACATATATATATATACACACACACACACACACATATATATTCCTCTATATGTGTGTGTGTTTATGTATATGGAGGTTTCAGGTGGTATTTGAACTGAGTAGGTCAGAGTCTCATACACAAATATGCGTATATATACATGTGTGTGTATACACACATATTTATATGGATTCCTCTATACATGTATATACACAATACACATGTACACATAGAAGAATATATGTAAATATATGATACACATATATATGATATGATATATTATAGGTATGGATATCTCACATGCAATATAAACATACACATACAGAAAAGCACATGATAGTGGATAGAATGCTGGCCTAGGGGTCAGGAACACTTGGTTTCAAGTCCACCTCTAGCATATGCTGGCTGTGTGGCCCTGGTAAGTCACTGAACCTCTCAGTGCCCCAGGTAATGGTGCTGAGCTGCTAGCAGAGGGAGTTTTCTCAATGGGATTTTTCAGTACCAATAAAATCACAGGTCTGGTAAACATAAACATACATATGTACGTATGTATGTATGTGTGTATATATGTACACATATATTTTCATTTATATATACACCTATCTGTATGCATACATACACATATACATATACATATATGTATATACCCACATGCACACACATATTTATAAAATAAAACATTTGTATAGAGGTGTATAACTTCCTAGACAACAAAATTCTTGTCCAGCAGACAAAAAGTGAGGTTGTTAGGAAGCTTAGGGTAAAACCAGTTATAGTTATAAGCACCAAGCCCACCACTATGAATTGATTGTTAGAATATTATGACATTCACATTCTTATAAACTATATATCTATTCCCTCAATCCAATTTTTTTTACAAGCCCTGTCAATAATACATTGAACAATACATACTTCCTTCTTTTATGCTTAATATGCAGCTGCTTTCCATCAGCTAGTCCTAGATGCTCAAAAAAAAGGGAGAGGGGAGGGGCAGTTAGGTGGTGCAGTGGATAGAGCTCAAGCTTTGGAGTCAGGAGGACCTGAGTTCAAATCTGGCCTCAGGCATTTGACACTTACTAGCTGTGTGACCCTAGGCAAGTCACTTAACCCCACTGCCTCACCAAAAAGCATAAAAAAAAGGAGGAGAGGGAAATGTGATTCACCGACAATATTGTAAATATTAATAGCATAGATTTATTAAGAGGTGCTAGAGAAAGAAGAAAAAAAGGACAGGGCAGGGAAGATTTCACTTTCTGTATTGCTGGGCCTCCAGGGCTAAATGTAGAATGCTGGCCTGATGCACCTGCTGCCCCATTTTCCTTTGTGCCTCATCATTTGCAGGGCACTCTGCATTCTGGGTCTGCTCAATGCAGTATTGAGGATGGAGGCCACTGTCCCACTCATGGTAGAAGACCTCTCCTTGGTCAATACACTGATTGTATAGCAAGCAGCAACCAATTACAACCTCCCCAATGCACTCAGCCCAACAAGGCGCCGTGGCTAAGAGACACTGCTACCATCCTCTCAGCTGCCTAAAGGTCTGGTCAATTGACCCTTGGGCAGTGGATAGCCTCTCACTGAAACACAGCTCCTCATGGATGGCAGGGTGGTGGCATGGGACCATCAGCCACTCTCAAAGAGGGTAGGCTTCATCACCAACTGGAACAGGTCCAGTGGTTTGGCCTCCAATTTCTTTACAGATGGATAGGAAGAGAGTGCCCATGTCTCCCTTTTTGAAAGAGCCAGCTCGCTTCCAACATGTGGGAATCATGGCTGGAACCTGGGCAACCAATAAACATTTGGGTGAACCAGAGTCTGGGATCGGCCATGGCTTGAAGAATAACTGAAAAATATTGGTGCTGGCTCCAGTAGTCTTTCCTGTTCCTTGGGGCAGCACACCTCAATATGGGTGCTACCAATGGCCCCAGCACACACTGGGAAACTATGCCTGGCCCAGAACATCTCCATGACCTTTTCAAGATCAGGTTGGTTTTCCTGGAGGTGTCGAAAGCCCATGCAAATAGCATCCACCACCTCATGGAAGGCACGTCCAACAGTAGATCTCCCCACTCCAAAAAGTTCAGCAGCACATCGAAGAGGCACTGGAGAGGCCAAACGGTACAGCCAATGGCTACCTTGCTGGGCACTGAGAGAGAAAGCTTGGGGTGGCTTCACGTTGAAGGTGTGGCGTCAGCTGGTCACAAATGTAATAGAAGGTCTCCTTAGACATTCAGAAGGTTTGCTGCCAACACCGAGGGTCTACCTGCCATCTCTGAGGCTCCACCAGAGCCTGGAGTGGGTGGGGAAGGCTGAGCCTCCGTGGGCTCTTCTTCCAAGGGACTGAAACACAGCAGACATCTGGGGTTCTGTGAGCAGAGAGCTGATGAGCTCTAGGGTCCTCTGAGTATGGAAGATGGCTTGATTCAGGTTGGCCTGCATGGTCTGGGCCAGAGCAGCAGTCTTCTCAGCTTCTTCCCTCTCTGCTACAAAAGTTGCTTCAATGGCTGCCATCTGCAGAGCAGCTTGTGCAAGAAGCTGTAGACCTTGCTGAGCCTGTTCCATGAAATGGAATTTGGAGTTCACAGATGACGCTGGAGCCGAGATGCACCTTTCCAGATGATGGCAACATAATTCTTGTCCTCCCAATAAAAAGTGAGGCAAGCAGGAGTCTTGAAATGGGGCCAGCAGGCTTTCCACTGAACTACTTAAGGTATTAAGGTAATTCTACCCTTGTAAACACATATGTATTCCTTTCCATCTTCTTACTGGCCCTGTAGAAAATACAGAGCCAAGGAGAGAGTTTGTAGTAAATAACACAATTTGTAGGCTAATAGACAGATAGGCTTGCTCTACTTCCCACACACTGATATTTCCTCACGTTAAACATTCTACTTATGAGCAGGCACTTCCCACTTCTCCTGTGCTTCTAGGCATCCTTTTTCAAAAAGCAGACACATTGGTGAAGAGATACAGGAAGTTTCCTCCCATTCTCCAAATCAGGGAGTGTCAATGAAAAAAAAAAAGCATGCTACTTGACCAACCAGTCTTACTTGCTTTTCTCAGATGTGTTTACAATTCCCTTCCGTCAAGGGTCACTTCCTTACATCTGTTTTCAGGTTCTTGGCTGAATTTTTAACTCTAGTTTTCAATTATGAAAAGGTAGGACTCATCCTCTTCACCTGCTTCACAGGGGTTGAACAAAAAGAGCAAATGAAGGACTTTGAAATTTTCAGAATGAAAGATATCCCAGGGAATAGTAGGCCATGAAGTTTAGAACTATAAATCTCAAAGCATTGACTGTAATGAATAAATTCTTTTTAAGCTATTAAATAATCACCATGTTGGTAGGCCCAAGAAGTGCCAAAGGGCACTTTTTACAAAGATCACTGATCTAGATAAAGCTGGAAATAATCTCAAAAGTCATCCAAATGCTTAATTTTAAAGATGCAGAAATTCAGACCCAGAGAGATTAAATGACCCAGGGTTACAGAGTAATAAGTATCAGGAAGGGAATTTGAATATAGGTTGTCCTAGGCTTTATAGATTTAGAGCTGGATGGGACCTCAATGACCATCAAGGGTCATTGATTCCAAGCCCCTAATTTTGCAGATGAAGAAATGGAGGTCTAGGGAAGTTAAGTGACTTTCTCAAGGCCACACAGGTAGAAGTGGAATTTAAATCCCAGTCCTTTGACTCTACATATTAGCACAATAGATAGAGGGCTGGGCTTGAAATCAGGGAGACCTGGGTTTAGATCCCACCTCAGATACTAGCTTTGTAACCTTACTAAAGTCACTTAACCTTTGTGAGAAATAGTTTCATTATCTATAAAAATAAATGGGTTGGTTACCTCACTTCCTGAAAATTGGCAAGAAAAAAATTTTTAATGGCAAAAGTCAGTGTTAGGGAGGTTATGGGACAATAGTTACACTAATACATCATTGGCAGAGCTGTGAAATAGCACAACCATTTTGGAAAGCAATTCAGAATTATTAAATAAGACGATTAAAATGTCCGTGCTGTTTGAACCAGAGACTTTCTTCAAGAGCTTATATCCCAAAAAAGCCATCAAAACAAAAAAAAAACCCAATATATTCCAAAATATTTATAGCAACACTTTTTGTGATAGCTAAGAATTGAAAACAAAGTAGATACCCATTGATTGGGGAATGGCTAAGCAAATTTTGGTATGTGAATATAATGGAATATTACTGTGTCATAAGGAATTAAATGTATGATGAATACAGAGAAGTATGAAAAGATCTCTATGAACTGGTATAGAATGAAGTAAACTGAGCCAAGAAAGCATATACACATTAATTGCAACAATGTAAATGGGGAAAAAACCCAACTACATACCAAAAAAATCAGAAGTAAATCTAACAAAATTATAAAGATCAAGCAGGACTCGAAAGAAGAGATATGAGAAGATCACCCCAACCTACCCCTTCATGGAGGTGGGAGGTGTTATATATTACACATGCTTTCAGACTTTTTCAATGTCACAATCAATTATGCAAATTCTTTTTTCTTCTCTTAAAAAAATCCACTATTTGTTCATATGGGATGGCTTTTGGGGAGGGAAAAAGGGAGAGATACTTGGGATACTATGGTGACATAAGAAACAGAAAACATCAGTAACAAATTATTTTTTAAAATAATTGGATTCAAGGACCTCTAAGGTCCTATCTTGCTCTAAATCTATGATCCTATTACCTTCTGACTCCAGAACCAAGGCTCTTTCCCTTATATCACATTCCCACTCCTTCCCATCAATTCCTTTTCCTGCTACTATTTCTTGTTCTGATGAACATCATGTCCAAAGCAAAAAGGAAAAAAAAGCATAAACATTGTGGCACTTTCTAGTGATAAAGACATTGCTACTAAGTGTTACCATTAGGGAGTCAGTCTTTCTGGGTCTCAATAGCCTCATTCAAATATAAAGAGGTTGAACAAAATGGTTTCTCATGTCCCTTCCAGCTTGATGCCAAGTTATTCAATAAAAGGCAGACATAGGAATCTATGCACCCTCACTGGGTATCCCTGACAAAGCTTCAACCAAAGTTTTAATGAGAGAGGTAGTATCATATAGTGGATAGGGTCCTACTCTTGAAGAAAGGAAGATCTGGGTTCAGATCTCACCTCAGATACTTAGTGGTTGTATGATGCTGGATAAATTATTTGACCTCTCTTTGTTTCTTTATTTGCAAAATGAGGAAGTTGGGCTTCCTTAGCTTGAAATCTATGATCCAATAATTCACGGTATGAATTGAGGCAGTCCCTCTGTTGATCTCAGTGTTTGTTTTTAGAATGGAAATAATCCTATTTGGTTTCTATGAGGGTCAAGATTATCTAGGAAATACTAGCTCTTTATAGACTAGAATGTGTCATAGTAAGTACCATGTTATATACCAGCAAAAGAGATGAAGACATGGAGTTGATTTGACACCTTCTTCGTGACTGATAGCTGTTGTTCAGTCATTTCAGTCTCATCTAACTCTTTGTGACCCTATTTGGGTTTTTCTTGGCAAAGATACTGGAGTGCTTTGCCATTTCCTTCTCCAGCTCATTTTACAGGTGAGGAAACTAAGGCAAATAAGAGTAAGTGACTTGCCCAGGGTTACACACAGCTAGTAAGTGTCTAAGGCCAGATTTGAACTCAGATTTTTCTGACTCCAAGCCAGCACTCTATGCACTGTGTCACCTAGCTGTCCAACCATTAGCTACAGCTTTGGAAATTAATAGATTATGGCTGTGAATGGATTTTTAAAGGTGCAAAGTTGCCATTCAATCATTTTTCAGTCGGGACCAACTCTTCTTCATTCCATTTGAGGTTTTCTTGGTAAAGATACTAGATAGTTTGCTATTTCCTTCAGTTCATTTTGCAGATGAAGAAACTGAGGCAAATAGGGGTAAGAGACTTGCTCAGGATCACTCAGATAATAAGTGTCTGAGGCCAGATTTGAACTTAGGAAAATAAGTTTTCCTTTGCTCTAGGGCCTGGCACTCTATACCGCTGTACCACACTGACACGGAACTTGGATCTTGCTTAGGAACTTTTCTTAACTCTTAGGGTACCAGGCATAGTTCCCAGAACTGCAACTACCAGATATTAGAAACCATTCAGATATTAGAAATACCTGCCCCATTTTTTTTTTTTTGCTTTTTGGTGAGGCCGTTGGGGTTAAGTGACTTGCCCAGAGTCACACAGCTAGTAAATATTATGTGTCTGAGGCTGGATTTGAACTCAGGTCCTCCTGAATCCAGGGTAAGTGCTCTATCCACTGCGCTATCTAGCTGCCCCCATACCTGCCCCATTCTTAGCCTCAGGAGTGAATCCCATTTCTACCCAATAGTACTTAACGCAGCTTCATTTTCCATAGTCTTAGGGCTCTGGCAGCTAGGTGGTGTAGTGGATAGAGTGCTGGACCTGGATTTAGGAAGACCTGAATTCAAATCCAGCCCCAGACACTTACTCTGTGACCCTGGGCAAGGCAGTTAACTGCCATGGCCTCAGTTTCCTCATCAGTAAAACAGAAATAATAATAGCACTTACCTCCCAGGGTTGTTGTGAGGACAAAAATGAGATTATATTTGTAAAGTGTTTTGTAAATCTTAAAGTAAAGGCTATCACCATCATCAGGTAATTTTCCAATATAGCTAGAAATCAACTTGGAATTAGGAAATTATGGGTGTGCATCTCTTCTCAGATACTTTATTTTGTTCTCTAGATCTCATGTTCTTCATCTGTAAAACTCAAACCTAAGGAGGTTAAATGACATAAAACAGCCACTACCTCACACAGCTTGTGAGTATCAAATAAGATAACATATATAAAAACTTTAAAATGCTATATAAACCTTAGTTATCATCATCATCATCATCATCCTCATCATCATGATTATTTTCTTTTGAGTAGGATTCCTTGTTTTATACCCACTGACCAGAAGGAAGTATTTTCTGCATTGGGTTTCCTTTCTACATTTTTCAGCCTGGTAGAAGGAATCTTTTCACATTTCAAATCTCATAAAGTCTGTCCCTCTGGTCTCAGACTTTCCCATGGGGACCCAGTTCTCTGGAGATGCCTTCTAGCATTAAAAATTTGTGGTTTTCAAAAATTATAAATAAATAATAAAGAAAACAATAAATGATAAACAAATGATTAATAATATAATACATAAATGATAAATAATGATGAATGAAATAAAATAATGAATAAATGATTTTTTTTTATTGTGGATTTCTATAAGGATCAAAAACCATCCCTCCTTGTACTCTTCCCATCTACTCAGGTTGTTGTCTACCTGGATCTGCGAAGGCATAGCCCGTAAATAAAGAGCACCCCAGTGGTCTGGTTCAAGTTTCCAAACATAACTTACTTAGCTGTCCTCTTGTAGCACATCCTTTTAAAATAATTACAAAGTTCACAAACAAAGATAGGTCCACAAATTCCCACACACACCCCCCTCCACGCATCCAAAATTTTACTTATCTGTATCAGACAAGCCCCCACCCATATCTGCACACCTCTGGTTTTGCCCTCACTTTGCCTCTTTCCATCCCATCCCACTTTCCCAAGAATCCTGGGCTACCCAAAGGACTGGGAGGAACATGAACACATATCCAGGGTCTCAAGAAATCACATCATTTGGTAAAACATTGACTTCCCCACCAAAGGCACAGTGGGCCTCTGAGTTTTTTGTTTGCTTGTTTTTGTTTTTAATAATCTTTAAAATAGGAAGTGGGACAAGATAATTCCAAAGGTACTTGGGACCCACCTCACTACACCCTCCCTACACAAATACAGATGGACACACAATCTTGACCCACACCCACACTGGAGGCCTTGTTAAAGGGACAGATACCCAGACTATGGGGGTTACCTGCGGTAGAGAGGCAAGCTGCTGCTTTATTTTGAGAACTGAGAACCCTCCATGTGGAGAGGCAGGTGGCCGTAGTACCTGGACGTTCAAGGAAGGGCTAACCAAGCCGATGTGTCTGGGGATGGCTCAGAGCCTTGGGGATAGAGGGTCTTGGCACCAAGTGGGGTGGGAGTGTAGGGGGGCGCAGCTGCATGGTGCATTTAGCCGAAAACAATTGCAATGCGGACTGAGCAGAGGGAGAGGGCGAGGGCTCTGAGTTGGGTCTCAAAGAGGAGTGTTGTGGGGTTTGGGGTAGGGGGAGACAACATGGGGAGAGGGGAGATGCTGCAATCTGACCAGAAGGGCGGGGCAAGCGACAGGCTGCTTACCTGGCCAGGGCGGGGCCGGGGCCGGCTCACTGCCCCAGCGCAGTTGCGGTTGCTTCTCTGTCTGCTATTGCCCGCCCTGGGAGAAGTGGGCAGTCCGGGATGCCACCGCCATGTTGTGTCCTGTAGGGACTCAGTGGGCCCTCCCTTCCTCTTCTCTCTCCTCCTCTCTTTCCTTGTTTCCCTCCTCCTCCTTTCCTCCACTCTTTGCAATCTGTCTCTTCCCTATCCCCTCCCATCTCCCTCCTCCTCCCACTATGTTTCCTCAGATCCTCCTTCCTCTGTCAAACGTAAACTTGCAGGTGTGGGACTCAATTAATTGCAATGGGGGGGGGGGGCTGTAGTCAGGGAGGAGCCTCACCCGAGAGGATGAGAGGAGAGGATGGGAGGAATGAGAAGGTACTCTGGGAATTACCCAGTCCCGTCTTCCAATTTAGTAGTAATAATGGATATTTATATAGTGCTTTAATGCTTGCAAAGCACGTTCTATGTATTACCTCTTTTGACACTCATAGGTAGGAGCTAGGA